CCCCTTCCTGAGGAGGGTCTGCCATGGCTTGTCTCTGAGCTGCCCATGGGCTCCTTGACTATGTCCCTGTGTGGGATCCTTGGGGGTGGCACCTCCAGGTGCAGTGATTCAGCAGCACTGGGGTGTCCCTAAGACAGCTCAGTCCCCAAAGGAGGCAGGAAGGTTGATGGGGTGTTGGGGCATGGCACAACGCCGGGGAGAACGTGGTCCTGGTGTGGTCCACCCAGGGGACTATTCCCGCTCTGCCACCCCAGCTATCTGCTCCTGACTCTGGGCCCCAGAGCAAGGGCTGAAAGGGGCTTCAGGGCTTCTCTATTCACCTGGGACCCAGCACCATGGACCCTTCAGTCTGGGTGGGAGGGCATGGCCAGGCCAGAGCTAAATCCAAAGCAAAGAGTCAGCCATGAGAAAGGACTCAGTTTGCAGCCCAGTAGTTAATGGGGCTGCCTTTCTGTATGGGGCTGTGCAAGCATTCTGGGCTGCTGCATGAACTCTGTACATCTTCTGTCCTCCACTTTGTAGATAACCATATGTTTGTGGGGGTGGGGGGAGGAGGGAAAGGGGGACACAAAGCCATGTTTTTGGAGCAGAGCTCGCTACGTGGGCTCCTGGTGCCAGACAGTGTGCAGGGATGTGTCTGGGGTGACCAGTGGCACAGTGATAGGGCACTGGGGAAGGACGCTCTGCTGTGTCTAAATTACATGCTTGGACCAAGGGGACCAGGAGAGAGAGAAGAGCCCATGGGGTGGGAGTAGGGGGAGAGGAGAGGCAGTAGTGCAGCAGCACTGGAGGGACTGCAGGTGCTAACTGGGGAGCTGGGTGAGTGCAATGGGTGTGTTGGCTGTGGGCCAGAGCAAGGGTGCTGGTGGCTCTAGGCATTGGGTAGAGGAACTGGGACATGAGCAACGGTGTTGGGCAGTGGGGCTGGGTGCAGGATGGTGACACTGGGCTACTGCCCTGATGTGTCTGGGGTGCTGCTGCTGTGCGTAACTGAATGATGATGCTGGGTGTTTGGCATCAGTGCTGGTCATGGGCTCCTGTGCTCTGCATCAATGAAGGGGCTGACCCAGGACCACTGGAAAAGGCTGGGGGTTGTAGGACGATGGTGCCAGATGTGTTTAGGGCTGCTGCCCAGGCATCATACAGAGCCCTGCGTGATGGTTTCCTGAATGCTGGGAAGGTCCTTCAGTACAGGGTGATGTTTGGTGGCTTTGTGAGACCAGAAATGGCTACAGAGCTGGGGGGCACCAGCATGTGACTGCCATTTTCCTGGCCAAGGGCTGTGGGACTTGGCTCCAAGCAAAGCTGCAGCTCTGGAGCCAGGACCATGAATGCTGACTGTGACCCTCAGTGCCTTGCCAGCCCTCCCAGAGCCACCGCAATTCCCCTCTCTCCTTTGGCCTCTTCCCTTTGGCAAACAGGATGTTTTTCCTGCAGTTCTCAATGCAGCGGAAATTGCCCCAAGCTGATTTGTGAACACGTTTGTCCTGTCCGGGAAGCAGGCGGCAGCTCAGCAGAGCAGGGCAGGGGCAAGCCAACCTGGGACAGCTGGGGGACCTTGGGGACCTTGGGAACGTGCTGGTGGGTGCGATGGTCTGCTTTTCCTCTCCAAGAGCTAGCCAGAATAGAGGAAAAGCCTGAGGGAAAATCTTGCTATTCCCGCCCTGGCTGGATGGACAGACAGACATCCAGCAAAGCCTCTCCCTGCTGCAGAAAAGGGAGCTGGGCAGGGACAAATGGGTCAAGGGACATTTCTATCCACTGCCATTTCAGGAGTCACAGAAAACTGTCTCCAGCCCTGGGATGCAGCCACAGGCCGTGACTCCTCTAAAACCTTGGAGGGTCCTGGGCTGTGGTCTTGGGTAACCAGGGGTTTGCCACCAGCTTGGTAAAGCCAAGCCCTCCGTGATATTTCTGCAGCAAGACCCATTTGTTCTGCCTTCCCTCTCACCAGGTATCATCACTGGGAGTCACTACCTTCAGCCTCTGTGCCCTGGGCATTGACAGGTTCCATGCGGCCACCAGCCCCCAGGCCAGTGCCCGGCCCATCGAGCAGTGCCAGTCCATCATCGCCAAGCTGGCCGTCATTTGGGTGGGCTCCATGACGCTGTCAGTACCAGAGATCCTGCTCTGGCAGCTGGCACAGGACACATCGCCTGTGTCTGGTATGGTGACAGAGTATTGCACCATGAAGCCCTCATCCAACCTGCCCGAGTCTGTCTACTCACTGGTGCTCACCTACCAAAATGCTCGGATGTGGTGGTACTTTGGTTGCTACTTCTGCTTGCCCATTCTCTTCACTGTGAGCTGCCAGCTGGTGACACGGAGGATCAGCGGCACTGAGAAGAAGACTGAGTGCCGAGGGACCAAGCACAGCCAGTGCGAGAGTAACTTGAACTGCACCATCATCGGGTTGACCATTATCTATGGGCTCTGCACCACTCCTGAGAATGTCTGCAACATCGTGGTGGCCTACATGTCCCCTGAGATGTCCAAGCAGACCTTGGACCTCCTCAACCTCATCAATCAGTTCTTCCTATTCTTCAAGTGCTCGGTGACGCCCGTCTTGCTCCTGTGCCTCTGCAGACCCCTGGGCCAGGCCTTCATGGACTGCTGCTGCTGCTGCTGTGAGGGATGCAGCCCCGATGCCGCTTCCAGCGAGGGCAGCGCTGACAGCAAGCTCAAAACAGAGATGTCCTCCTCCATCTTCTTTGACAAGCCCCGGGAGTCCCCTCCACCCCTTCTGGCCCTCGGCACACCTTGCTAAGTGCCACCAGGGAGCTGTAGAGATCAATCCACCGCCTCCTCCCAAGACCAAATGTTTTGCCATTAGTGCCCATATCTGGACGTGGAGCAAGCAGAAGAGACAGCTCAGGGGGCTATACCATGGGTTTCAAACCCCACATTGGGCAAGTGGGGCTTGAAACCCCAGTCCCCACGGCTGCACTGGCGGCCTTCTTGCCTCTGCCCAAAGGCCAGCAAGGACATCAGCACCTCCCGTCCTGGCTGCTCGACCAGGCTCAGAGGGGTTGCTGCTCTGGAGATGGAGTTGTGCTGGAAAGGTCCCATCTGAAATTAGAGAGGGTCTCCATGGTGGCTTGCAGAGGACACAGCAAACACAAACTGCCCTCGTCCTGTCCCGTCCCCTCCTGCTAGCCCCCTCCCACAGTAGGAGAAGGTCCCAGTGACCATATCCCACCAGGTCCAAGCAGTGCCCTGTAAGAGCTCAATAAACCAGTAACCTAGAGCACGTTGCACATGCTCTCTGCTGCCGAGCACAGATCTGGAGAGCCAGCGCTTGGATGGCTCTTCCCTAAAACCTGGGGGCTGTGGGGTGGGCACGGGCAGTGGGGGGACAGGAAAGCAGTCACGACAGGTCACACCGCACCAAAGGGCAATGGGGAAAGGCCCCTCTACCCCCTCCCTCTGGGGTGAAGGTGGTGCCAAGCCAGCCCCTGGGAGCGTCCCCTCCAAAGCACCAGGCTTGGGGTGGTTCGCAGAACTCGAACTGGTCCCAGTAAAGCCCAGCCAGCACAGCACTGGGCTGAAGCACTCTGCAGCCTGCAAGGCAGCCAGTTCCTCACCACACTGTACAGCACCAAGGTGCTGCTGCTGCACAGTGCAGGGGGGGGCATGTGGGACCACCATCCCCAGCACCCCTTGGGGACCCAAGGGGGTGAGCGCATCTTATCCCCTGTGCAGAGCTGCTGACCTTCATCCACCTGCCTGTCATGGGGACAAAATTACACCAGAAGGATGGTTTGAGGGCATCAGGATTTCCAAGCCCCACATCCACCCTCTGCCCAAGACTCCTGCACCCAGGGACGGCCCTGAGGAGCAGGCGGGGTGGTGGGATCGGGCTGAGGACAGGCTGGCTGCACCAGCCCTGTCCACCGGAGCTGTTAAAGCTCCTTGTCCTGCTGCTGGCACCCATCCCAGCCTGCGAAATGCCAGGGTGAGGGAGATGGTTGCTATGGCCGGGTGAATGCGAGGGGCTCACTGTGGGCTTTGTGCGGCATCAACACCCACCAGGCTTTGCTTTCGCAGCCCTGTTTCCAGGGAAACAAAAGCCCCAGTTTTCTTCTGAGAGCACAGAACTGGGTTTTTCCTTTCCTTCTCCCCAACCCCCCTGCCAGTCCTGGGCCCCACCGTTTGGGATCAGCCAGGCAGAAGAGGGGGTCTCATCCTGGCAAGGGATGACAGGGGGTTGCAGTGCCCAGGCTGCCCACCTTCCCTTGACATCCTTGCACACCCGTGGGGCAAGCGGGGTCCCCGGGCAGGGGTTCGGTGGCAGTGGGAGGGTGGGAGCGGGGGGCAGCTCTCATGTGCCTGGTCCGTGCTGCTCCATCCTGAGCCCGGGCCAAGGGCAAACAAAGGCAGGCTTGTTGCTGCGGCCCCACGGGGCTGGGTGCGTGGGGAGGAGAGCTGGGGGGGCAGGGAGGGCACAGGCAGCACCATCAAAGGCTGTGGGCAACATATGGCCCCGCTGCAGGCCGACTACCCATGGGCTGGGGCTCTCCACCGGTGGTCCCAGCCCCAGTGCCCAGGGATCCCGGCAGGCTGCCGCAAGGCAGACAGCACAACCCTGGGGGGGGTCAGTGCAGTGGCCGCTGCCCAGAGGACATGGGGCAGGGTTGGCCCCCACAGGCCCCAGAAGGGGGCTGGTGTGGGTGAGGGTGCAGGAGCCCTGCAGCAGCCCCGCGCCAAACACAGCATTGGAGCAGGTCCCTGTGCAGCCCTGGGACACGATGTGGGGGTCGAGGAAGGTCTGGCAGCGGGCGATGGCCACAGCTGGAGGTTTCCAAGCTCATCTTTGCACCCAGACCAAGACAATGAGGCATCCAGAGCAGTCAGAGCCGGCTATGACACCTCTTGGGTGAGCACGACCACGCAGGTGTCCAGTGCTTCCTAGGGGACAGGGACCCTCGCCATACGCTCAGCACCGAGGAGGGACAGGTGGCAGCGATGGCAAGGCAGTAATGTGACTGCAACCACACCCCCCAACGCAAAATTGTTAATTTATTATTATTAGGAGGCAAAAAAATTGTACAGTTACAAGAATCATTTCCCAACAGAGGTCATATCTGAGCCAAAATATCTCTTAAAAAAAAAAGGGGGGGGGGATAGGGGGTGACAACACTTTACAAGTCATTAAATAAAAAAAAAAAAGGAAACCTCTCTTTGTGCAATTCTGCAAAAACGAGAACAGAAGAGAAACCCCAGCCTTACTGCCCCAGAGTTGAGCAGGGGAAGGGGCAGCAAGAGGGGGCCCGCAACCCCCGCCCCTGGGCCACTGCCACCCTCTCCCGAGCCGTGAGCTGGGGACAGGCCGCTGTCCCCGCTGTGCTGACCCTGACCCCACCATGCACCCGCCCTCCCGATGCCAGCGCAACCCCCCCAGCCCAGCTAAGTCCCCCTCCCCAGACTGGTTCCCAACAACCTGGCCAGGCCCCTAGGCTGTGCCTGCAGACACTCAGTAACTCATCACATGGCACAGCCTTCCTGACCTCACCCAAATTTCCTCTTGCCCTCTCCCCACCTGCAAGACAAGGACCCAACCACTTTTCCCCCCAGCCCCACCGCTCCACACGTCCCCCCCCAGCCAGGGCAGCAGAGCTGGGGGCCGGCACGGGGCGCAGGGCACGCGTAGCAGGGCAAGCAGAGCGTGCCCCTGCCTGATGGGCAGCTCTGCAGGAGCACAGGGTGCTCACAGCCCCCTCCGCATGTCTCCCCAGCCCCCCTGTGCCATGTCCTCAGCTGGGGCAGAGCCAGCAGCCCCCAGCCAGGAGCAGGCAATACCTTTTGGCACATGGGGAGCCAGCGTGGCCCCCCCAAGAGACTAACTGGGGCCGAACACCTCTGGCGACAGCTGAGGCAGGCATGGGGGCCACTGGCATCACTGCCCCCCCTCACTGGCACTGGCACCTCGGATGGCAGCCTCAGCACAGCAGAGCAGCAGGACTGGGCAGCAGGGCAGGATTCGGCCCAGGCAAGGGGACTGGGGGCACACGGGGCAGTGGGACAAATGGCCCGGGGCAGTGAGGGGTTGGGGCCCTGCCATGGCAGCTGGAGGTGATGGGGGAGGGAAGCTGATGGTAGCAGGTCATGACTAATCCTTGTCACCCCAAAAAGGTGAGGAGCACAGGGGGGCAGCATCACCTCCCCCCAACACCCTGCCCATGGGGCTGAAGCCCAAGAAAGGGCAAGGTGGGCATGGTCCCAATCCCCCCAGGATGCTCCTGGCCTGGGGAAACAGGCAGGACGCCTGGGGAAGGGATGAGGGAGCCCCAGGGTACCTGCCCACAGGCCTGCACAGCCCCATCCCCAAGGGGCTACCTTCTGCCATCACCCTCATCTTCCGTCCCAGCGCTGGCCCTCAGCCAGCCTTGGGGAGCCCCCAGGCTTCCTACCGCTCACAGGGCCCAGTTTAGTAACAGCGCTATCACTTAAATTAAAAAATTAAAATATATATACATATATATATACTGTATACACAGACAACAACAGAATAGTGCCAAAATGGGAGGAAGATACAGAGAGAGGAGAGGAGGGCAGAGTCGGACATTTTCTTTACAATAAAAACAAAGGCTCCACCTCAATGCAAGTGGAGTCTGGGGTCCCCTAAAAATACCCATCTAGAGAGAGAGCTGGAGGGACAGAGCAGGAGAAAGAAGGGGCATGGGCTTGTACAATGGCATCTTCCCGATCCGGGCTGCGGTCCACAGGATCTCAGCTTCTCCTAGACTTTGAGTGCTGGATAAGCCACTGTAGGGTGATGTCTGTGGAGGCAAGGGGACACTTACAGCCTCTCCCTCTGGCTGTCATCCCCTCTTGTACTTGGGCAAACAGGATGGGCACGGGCTGCCCCCTGAGTGCCACACCCCCAGCCTCAGTACTCACCGATGTTGTCCTTTTCTTTGCAGGAGATGGAGTAGCAACAAATCTCTCGGTCCTGGATGGCGGAGAGGTTCCTGCAGGAGAGGAGCGAGCTCTGGCTGCAGACCCCCAGGGCTACACACTGGTGGCGACAGCAGGCGCCTCCTGGCAGCCTTTTTTAAGGGTCCGTTTGGACCCTAACTCTGAGACAGGAGCACTTTGCAGGGGCAACATCTCCCCAGGCTCCTGGGGACCTCCACGTGGGTTGGGCGAGGACATCAGCGCACTGTGCCCACGACTGATGGCCACGTGTGGTTTGTGGGGGTGACAGGATGGGACAGGAGGGAGTCGACCCCAAGGAGAGCCTGGTGACGAAATCACACAGCTTCCCTCCCTACACCTGGGCTGCACGGCCCTGAGGCGAGACGGGGCAGGCAGGGTTTGGCACAGGGCTGGCAGGACAGAAACTGCATAGGTGCTCACCACAAGACCCCCGAGGGGTGGCCGGGGGGGAGCAGAGATGCTGCAAGTCAGCGCAGCATCCCAGATCTCCGGCTGCAGGGGAGGGAACCGCTGCCAGCAGCGTGGAGGTGGGCAGGAGGCAGCACTGGCTGCGAGGAGGCCTTGCATCGACACGGCAAGTGCAAGTAAGGGAGAGGTACATGGTGGTGTCACCCACTGGAGCAGGATCCAACCTCCAAGCACGGAGGGCTGCCAGGGGTGCAGGACAGAGCTGCTCTCCAGAGGGTGACAGGAGCGGCACCACACGGAGCGCAGCTCCACCACCCAGCGCCGTGCCAGGCCCCAACGCCACCGTGTGGCACATGAGACCCAGCCCTGGCACTGGTGGCCACGGGTCCCAGCTCCTCCCCATCTCCGCCAGCCACTGCCTCAGGATGCCCCCTTCACCCATTCTGCCAGCCCACCCCAGGTACCGTGATGCCAACCCTGGCTGGGGAAGGAGCAGCAGCAGAGCACAGCAGGGTGACCCTGCTGGCAGGGACGTGACAGGAACAGGGGGGTCACACTGTGTCACACTGCAGCTGCTCAGGCCACCAGCAAACTTACATCTTCTCAATGAGCTCCTTCTCATCCAAGGCACCGGGCAGGTCTCGCTTGTTCCCCAGGACTAGGACCTGCAGGAGAGGAGAGGGGTCACCTGAAGCTTCTGGCCACCACACCAGGCAGGAACCTGCTTCTGTCACCCAGAAGCACACCCTGCTTGAGATGCAAGACAATCCTGGCTACTTCACCAGGGTGTGCACAGATGAAGAAAATCCCTTCAGTGGGCAAGCAGGGGGCACTTAATTAACAGCCTTAATTAGCCCATACACAGCATCTCCTGTGTACTCTCTAGTCCCAGTGAGAAGCTGGGCCCATAGCACATCCTTCCTGAAAGGCACCAGCTTCTCTTATGCCATCTAGGACGTTCTCCCAGGAGCCTCTTGCTGTCTTTGAGGAAAAAATCAAGTGAAATTGCTAAACCCGACATTATCAGGAAGGAGTGAGATGCAGATGCCATGCAGAACCTGCCCTCCACAGGCAGCCAGCCCAAAAAAGCAACGGCTGTTTGCATCATGCACTGTTCTCTCCTTATTTCAAGGCTTTTCACATCCACAAAGGCATCCTCAGACTAGGCAAGGAAAATAATCACCCGGCAGGATTCGTTCATGCCTCCGGAGTGTGCCATGCGACTGTCATCTGACAAGGACAGCACTGAGGCTGCAGCCGCCTTCCCGGGGTGAGCCGGGGCCTCTACAGCAGCACAGTAACGCAGCATGCCCCAATTTAAATTTGGAGATTTGCTCTCAGAAAAGAGCACTCAGAAGGGCTCCACATGCAGTACATTATGTTGGGAGCTTAATTTAGTTGGCCGCGAATGTTTGGGGTCTGAGCAAGATCCCCGATTAGCTCTTTTCAAAGGGTGCTGATTTTGGATGCTCCATGAGCATCCCACCCTAGCTCATGCAGCATTCCCCATGCCACCTCCTGTGAATGCCACAGCCCAGCAGCCACTCTTCTAGAAGATGAGACCTTAATGTCCCACCATAAATAAGGTGTAAATTAATGCGAGAGGACAGATCTCACAAATTGAGGGGTTTTTTTTGGTCTGTTCTCAAGCTCAAGCTCTGGTTGGCCCAGCCCTGGGCTAGAAAGCATCATTGCCCCAGCTCCTGCTGAAGTGCAAGGGGGAAGGAGACACCCCCCTCCAAGGAAGGTGCTTCCCCACCTCAAATCTGCTCTGCAAGGCAGCAGAGCCCGGGGACTGTGAGCAGCTGGGGAGGACCTATCCAGACAACAGCTCACCGGGATGCCCTGGAGCTGCGGCTTGTCGAGCAGGTTGTGGAGTTCATTCTTGGAGGCCTCTATCTTCTCCTGGTCGGCAGCGTCCACCATGTACCTGCGAGGGAAGGGACACCCCTGAGCACAGGCACCAAAGTCCCCATGCCCCAGTGCTGTGCTGAGGTGCATGCCACCACCAAACCTTGCTCGTGCAGCAGCTGCATTGCTCCCACCACCTTCTGGGCCAGTACATGAAGGTGATAGATAACGGGATCCTTCCCCTAGGATGCCTCTTCCCAAGGAAGGTTGTGGGGCTGAAAGCCCCTCGTGTTTCCCAGGGAAAACCTCCCTGTCCCTATCTCCACAGGGCTCCACCCCCATTGACAGCAGGGACACGGCGGGAAAGGAAAGCCCAGGTACTGCCAGCAAAGAAGCAAGCTGCAAAACATGTTGTCCCCAAGTGCCCAAGTAAGGGTCATCACAGAATCACAGAAAGGCAGGGGTTGGAAGGGACCCTCGGAGATCATCTAGTCCAACAACCTGCCAAAGCAGCGTCACCTTGTGTGCACATGGCAGCTCCTTATGGAGACACCCAGAACAGAGGACAACAAGATGTCGACCCAAGATCCTGGCAGGCAGAAGGACCTGTTCATCCTCTCTAAGGGAGCAATCCTGGGCATGGGACATGGAGCAAAGGGCACATGAAGCCAGCAGTTAGCAATGCTTGCTCTGAACTGACAGGAGAGATTTAGGGAAGGATTTAGATCTTAAAGGTGGGCACTCATCCTGCAAAGAACATAACTGAAGCCAAAACTGGGGAGAGGAACTGATCAAATCAGCCTCTATTTTAAAGATCCAGAAGCTGGGAGAGAAGTGAGAAACACCATCAAGCTTCACCAGGCCTTGTGGGGTTTATTAAATATAGGAAAAGACCCTTTAGCTACAGAAATACTGAACACAGAAAAATCTGTATGGCTGTACCAAGAGGGAGAAGGAAAAATACCACCCAGGCACTGCCCTGAGCCTTCGGCACTCTAGACAGGGTGGGAGAGCTGAAGGCAACATAAGAGGGATGTGACACAGCTCAAGGTGAGGAAGGCAGACTGGACCATGACCTGATGGCCACAGGTCCTTTCATTTCCTCTCAAACAGAAAGCCCACTTTGGAAAAATGACGAAATTATAGGAGCGGTAAAGGAGCGGAAAAAACAGATTTTTCATTTCCAGCAAAGCTCACTGTAATAAAAAGTGTCAATGACATGTCCCATCATGGTGACAATCAGCAAGGGTTGTCCCAACAAGCAGGTCAAGTGGTCCCTCACTCTTCATCAACACTTGGGAGGAGCAGTACAGAAACCCAGCCGTTCAAAGTCTCAGGGCACTGTCAGATGGTGAAGATCACATAAATCTGATTTTCTGAGGGAGCTGGGGGTGTTCAGTCTGGAGAAGAGGAGGCTGAGAGGAGACCTTATCGCGCTTTGTAACTACCTGAAGGGGGGTGTAGAGAGGCGGGGGTTGGTCCTGTCTCCCAAGTCACAGGCAATAGGACAAGGGGAAATGGCCTCAAGTTGTGCCACAGGAGGTTTAGATTGGATATTAGGAAACATTTCTTCACCGAAAGGGTTATCAAGCATTGGAATGGGCTGCCCAGGGAAGTGGTTGAGGCACCATCCCTGTTGTCAAAAGACGGGTAGACATGGTCCTCAGGAATATGGTTTAGTAATTTTTATTACCTATTTCTTATTTATTTTTTGTCAGAGTTAGGTTGATGGTTGGACTAGATGATCTTTAAGGTCCCTTCCAACCCAGACAATTCTATGATTCTATGATTCTAACTGGATTTAAGCAACACCAATGTGGTTTTCTAGGGTAAATTCTTGTCCTTAGGAGCAGGCAGCCTGGTCTTGCTGGCAGTCAGCAGCAGGCATTGCAGTGAAGGCACTGGCAGCTTCCAGGGCTCAGCACTGCCCAGCACCCTTGTGTGGGGTGACGGGACCATGCCCCTACCCGCTGGCGGGGCTCAGCATTGGCACGTGGGTGACTAAGTGGACCTGCTTCTCTAGGTGGACCTGCTTTGGCAGGGAGTTGGACTAGATGATCTCCAGACCCCCTTGTGATTCCGTGGTGGGGTTCTCAGCTCCCAGTGATACTCACACGATGGCACTCACTCCGCGGCAGTACCGTTCCCACATGCTGCGAAACCGTGGCTGGCCACCGATGTCCCAGAGCTGTGGCAGGGAGAAGGCAGTGTTACCCCACTGTCCTGTCCATGACCCTTCCCCACACGACCACACCATGAGCACCTTGTGTGCACCAAACCCACCTCAACCCCTCCTCTTCGGCTCAAACCAAGCAAGGAGGCTTGTGACTCAACAAAGACAGACATTTCAAGAAGGACAGCTGGAGGGTGTTGAGCACCTCCCGTGATGTGCCTTGGCTGGCACAGGAGGAACCCCTGGCCCAAGCTGGGGGGCTCCTCCCCATGCCCACCACACCTACTGGCCTTTCACTGGTGCATTTGCCATTTCAAAACACTCAGCATGGTCTCCAAAATGTTTCTGCAGCAGGCAGAGATCCCCAGTCAGCTTTTCAAGCCCTTCCTACTGATATTTCCCAGTCCAACCTGGAGCCTTTGAAAGACCCAGGTGGGGTAGAACCCTCTTCTCCCTTTGCTCTTGAGGCAGAGACCACCACTGCAAGCCATGACCTGTTTTACCTGGCGCTCCCACTTTCAGCAAGGTGACATCCATGAGTCCTTGCCAGCAAGCCAGAGGTATAGGAAAACCTCCAGCTTTGCAGCCTGGACTGGCTCTTACTGTGGAGGTCTGGATCTCCTACATCCTTTCCTACCACCCTCTCTGGGGGGTACCTGCAGAAACCTAGCAGGGCAGATCTTCCCAACTGCAGCTGGGGCTGCTGACATCTTTCAGCCTCCAGTAGAAGTCCCATCAGTCTCCCTTCACCCCACCTTTCACCCCAAGAGCCCACATCGGCGATAACATCCGCACTTTACCTTTATGGTAACGTTCCCCTTGGTGATCTTCCTCATGTTGAAGCCTACTGTCGGGATCATGTCTTCATTGAACTGTCCTGACTGCAAGGAACAAGGTGAAACAGTGTTAGGAGGCATGGGAACTCCACCAGCCTGCCCTGAGCAGGGCAGCGAGGCTGCCTGAAATAACCCCAAACACTCTGTCAGCCCTGCAGCAGGCACAGCGCGACCCTCCTCCTGCTCCACATCAGGAGCAAAATTAGAGCCAAGGAGATAAAATGCCCGCAGGAGGGAAATGCTGCTGAGGCTGCTGTAGCTGCATGGGGTGCAGGGTGCCATGGGTGCTCCAGGGAAGCCTCCAGCACCAGCCCTGCTGCCATCTCGGTGGGGTGGCAGAGGCTCACCCAACCCATCCCTTTCCAGGTGGGATTCCCAAACCCTTTGCGCGAGGATGCAGAGACCTTTGCTTGCTGCAGTGACCTCAGGTCAGCCATGCCAGGTCCAAACCTCTCCTGCAAAACCCACTGGCAGCCCTGCAAAGATCGGGGTGCAGGCAGGCAGCCAGGCTTCCCGCGCAGGGAGCCACCTCCTGCACCAGCTCCTTCCTGGCCGCCCGTCCCGGGGGCTTCGGCACATTTCCTGCTTCGAATCATTTAATGGCCCAGCACAAACCAGAATGACTTCTGCTTTCCTGCAAGCGTGCTGCCTGCCTGCACCCTGCCCGGCATGAAAGCCAGGTGCTCATGCTGGGTGATGTTGGGGGGATCTCCCTCTCCCCAGGAGCTGCCATCGCGTGTCCTCCAGCAGCACAGCTCCGAGTCACGTCAGGCATGAAATGCATGAAATCACTGCAGATTTACATACCAGTGCCGCTGTGAAACTAGGTTAGTCTTGTCAAAGTGGTGAGCAGCAGCAGTCTCTCTACCACCACAGGGAGATGCCAGCTCACCAGCTAACATGCCTGGCACTGCACTGGAGGGACAGGATGGTGCTGGTCTGCTAAAACCCACCCCAACTCCCAGTTTGCTGCTCAAATCCCAGCGCCATGAGATGGTCCTGCACTGAGCAGCACAGACATGGTCCAGGCAGCCCCAGCAGCAACCCTGGGGCAGGGAGCAGGAGCTGCCACAGACCTTCACCCTCTAGCAGCCTCCCATCTCCAGGCATCCTCCCTGAGACTCAAAACAGGATAACCTTCTTTGCTTTTTAAATGCATCCTTGTGGAAGACCTTGCTGTGGAATGACAAGGAAGCTGATGGGGAAGAGGGTATGATAAGCAGGATAACATGTTGCTAGGACTTTTGGCCTTCCTTGCCAGAAACCTGCAGGAACCACCAACCACAGCCAAACTCAGGCCAGCAGCTCTTTACTAGCTTAAAATCTCAGTTTCTGTAGGACTTTTCTGGGTTTTCTTTCAGTTAACACAAACCTCAAAAAGGGAAGGGAATTTATGCCATGTTCTGATAAGCAGAATTTTGTGCCTTGTTGAGCCAATGGCTTCTTCATACCCACATCAGCGAGTCCCCAGGGTTTTCCTGACCTCTTCCAACGGTGCTGCAACATATACCGCTTCCCTTTTTCATTTCCCTTTTGCATTCATCAGCAAAGCCCGGCAGCCAAGGGATCTCTGAGCCATAGTGCACCCAGAAACCACACCAGGGACTGGCAGGGAAGGACACAGGGGAGAGGAGGGGAAGCAGACAGGAATCCCCCTACCCCTGGTTGCCACGGGGAATGTCTCCTGCGGACTGAAGTTCAACACACAATTTGGCTTTATGGACCAGATCTTAAGGAATTATCAGGCTTTGATCAGAAGACGTGGAAAGAAATCACTGAAGAGCTCTCTGAAGCTGCATGCACCTCCATTGGGGATCCCAGACCACACCACAGGACCTATGGTGTGGAGCACCTCCCCTGTGAAGACAGGCTGAGAGAGCTGGGGTTGTTCAGCCTGGAGAAGAGAAGGCTCCAGGGAGACCTCACTGCAGCCTTCCAGTATCTGAAGGGAGCTACAGGAGAGCTGGAGAGGGACTCTTTGTCAGGAAATGTAGTGACAGGACAAGGGGGAATGGTTTTAAATTGGAAGAGGGGAAATTTAGATTAGATATTAGGAAGAAATTCTTTACTGTGAGAGTGGTGAGCACTGGGACAGTTGGCCCAGGGAAGCTGTGGCTGCCCCATCCCTGGAGGGGTTCAAGGCCAGGCTGGATGGGGCTTTGAGCGACCTGCTCTAGTGGAGGTGTCCCTGCCCAGGGCAGGGGGGTTGGAACTTGATGATCTCTAAGGGCCCTTCCAACCTTCCAACTCTAACCATTCTGTGATTCTAACTGCTGGCTGTGCAAAAGCCACCTGAAACAATTCAGGAGTGATGCCTCTTCTAGGAAAGGATGGGCTGCAGGAGCCAGGAGTTACCTCTGCTTTCCTCCAATAGAGATGGGAACAAGCACACCTCTGCGAGGAAAGCACGGCCTTACTCCCTGCCCCAAATCCTTCCCCCAACCGCGGCATCTGCCTCCAGGCCGCCCACAGCCAAAAGACAAAGACAAAACCACATGTGCTGTCCAAAAAAGGCTGGGTTGGGAACTGACACATTGTGGTCCAGGATGGCTGGCACGTGGTCCCTGCTGTCCTGGCACCCACAGCAGCATCTTCAATGTGCTGCAATGTGTTCAGCTGCTTCTGTATCAGCTGTTCTCTGAAAGCAACTTTGAATGCCGACGAGCCTAAGGACACCCTCCAGCCTGCCATTGCACTTGAAGCAAGAAATAATGATAGTATCAGAATGGTCTGTGGCAAGTGGCAGGAAGACACACCAGGGTTCAAAGGATGGGGTGACAGCAAGGGCCTCCAACCTGTTGCACTAACGCATGCTGTGAACACTGCATCCAAGGCAAGGTCTTGCAGAACTGGACCAAGAGCCCCTGAGGTAATAGGAGACAGGAGGGTTGCAGCCATAAAGCATCTTGGGGGATCAGTGGAGAACGTGACGTGGCCAGCAGACCAGCTGAAGTGTCTCTACACCAATGCACACAGCATGGGCAACAAGCAGGAGGAACTGGAAGCTGTCCTGCTACAGGAAAGCTATGACATAGGAGCAATTACGGAAACTTGGTGGGAGGACTCCTATGACTGGAGTGTGGCCATCGATGGCTACAAGCTGTTCAGAAGGGACAGGAGTGGAAGAAGGGGTGGAGGTGTTGCCCTCTATGTAAAGAAGTGGCTAGAATGTGAAGAGTTGTTGCTAAAGAGTAGCCATGACCAGGTCGAAAGTTTATGGGTAGGAATTAGGGATTGGGACAACAAAGGGAGCCTTGTGGTAGGAGTCTACTACAGGCCGCCTGACCAGGCGGAGCCTGTCAATGATGCCTTCTTACTCCAGCTTGAGGAGGCATCACGATCACAGGCTCTCATCCTGCTGGGGGACTTTAACCACCCCGACATCTGCTGGAAAAGCAACACAGCTGGCTGCAGACAATCCAGGAAGCTCTTAGAGTGCCTAGATGACAACTTCCTGCGACAAGAAATTAACAGCCCTACTCGAGGAAATGCATTGTTGGATCTGTTGATCACAAATGCAAGTGAAATCATCAGGGATATCAAAATTGAAGGTAGCCTAGGCTGCAGTGATCATGCCCTAGTGCAGTTCACTGTCCTAAGGAGTTTGAAGCTCACCAGAAGCACAGTTAGGACTCTAAATTTCAAGAAAGCAAACTTCCAGCTTTTCAAGGAGTTAGTAAATAGGACCCCATGGGAAACAGCCCTCAGGGACAAGGGAGCGGAACAAAGCTGGCAGATCTTTAAGGATGCTCTCTATAGAGCACAAAAGATCTCAATCCCCACATGTAGGAAAATGGGCAAGGAGGGCAAGAGACCACCATGGTTGAGCCAAGACCTGCTGGTCAAACTAAGGGGCAAGATGGGGCTACACAGGAAATGGAAGAAGGGACAGGCATCCTGGGAAGAGTATAGGGATGCTGCCAAGATGTGTAGGAATGAGGTCAGGAAGGCCAAGGCACAGCTAGAACTGAACTTGGCAAGGGACGTAAAGAAAAATAAGAAAGGCTTCTACAGGTACGTTAACCAGAAAAGGAAGGTTAAAGAAAATGTACCCCCCCTGATGTGCAACAGTGGGGAACTTGTATCAACAGATGAGGAGAAGGCAGAAGTTCTCAATGACTTCTTTGCCTCGGTCTTCACTGGTAACCCCCTTCCTCCTAGTTCTTGTGTTGATGACAAAAAAGTTGGAGACCAGGGTGACAAGGTCCCTCCCACTGTAAGTGAAGACAAGGTACGAGATCAACTCAGGAGCCTGAAGATATACAAGTCCATGGGACCTGATGAGATACATCCCAGAGTCCTGAAGGAACTAGCTGATGTAGTTGCCAAACCACTTTCCATGATATTTGAAAAATCATGGCAGTCAGGTGAAGTCCCTGCAGACTGGAAGAAGGGGAACATCACACCCATTTTTAAAAAGGGTAGAAAGGAGGACCCTGGGAACTACCGACCTGTCAGTCTCACCTCTGTGCCTGGGAAGATCATGGAACAGATCCTCCTAGATGCCATGCTTGGGCTCATGAAGGACAGGGAGGTGATCCAGGACACCCAACATGGCTTTACTAGGGGCAGGTCCTGCCTGACTAACCTAGTGGCCTTCTATGATAAAGTGACTTGGTCAGTAGACAAGGGGCAACCTATGGATGTGATCTATCTGGATTTCTGTAAGGCCTTTGACACGGTCCCCCACAACATCCTGATTGCCAAATTGGAGGGGTACGGATTTGATGGGTGGACTGTTCAGTGGATAAGGAACTGGCTAGATGGTCGCATCCAGAGGGTGGTACTCAATGGCTCAAAGTCCAGATGGAAACCAGTCACAAGTGGTGTTCCTCAAGGGTCCGTGCTGGGACCGGTGCTGTTTAACATTTTGATCAATGATATAGACAGGGAGATTAAAGGCACCATCAGCAAGTTTGCGGACGACACCAAGCTGTGTGGTGGTGTCGATACACCAGAGGGATGGGATGTCATCCAAAAGGACCTGGACAGGCTGGAGAGGTGGGCCCAGGTGAACCTCATGAGGTTCAACAAGAGCAAATGCAAGGTTCTGCACCTGGGCCGGAACAATCCTCGCCACCAATACAGACTAGGGGGTGAGGTATTAGAAAGCAGC